GGCGGGAGCGGCCCGGGCGCGCGGCCGGTCCTAGCGCCCTCTCCTCGACTTCCCGGCCTTGCGGCCCCGCTGGGGGTCCCCGCACGCTGCGAGACTTAGGGCCGGACTCCGTAGCGCCCGAACCCTGCGCTGGGCCTCGGCACCCCTACTCGGCCAGCTCCGGTCACTCCGCCGGGGGCCCTGGCTGCAGCCCGTCCCCTCTCCCACCCCCCAACCCCCGCTGGGCGCCCGGCTACCTGGCACGGCCTCGGCGCAGGGTCCCCGCATCCAGCACTGGCCGCAGGGACAGCGGCCCCTCCTCTCCCCGGGCCGGTGTCAAGTGCCTCCCCCCGCAGCCCGCGGAGCCCCCCGCGGCCTTCGCCCTGCAGTTCTCCCGACCTCCACCAGAGCCCACTGCACTCTGCGTGCCTCAGCACTGGGGCTGGGGACAGCAGCGCCGGCCCAGACGCGTCGCAACCGCCACCCCACCCGCTACCCCGTCAGGTGCTGCCGCGGAGTAGAGGCCAGCCCACACAGTGGGGCCAAGGTCGGGGCGCCAGGCCCATCCGGGCCGCCCTGGAGGCGCGAGCGTCTCTGTAGGGTCAGCCCCCTGGAAGGGAGGGAGCTCCCGTACCTTGAGGCGTCAAGTAGAGTTGAGTGCCCTCAGTTGGGCAACGGAGAGCGAAAGATCTTATGGAGTGAGAGGTCGAGTTAAAGGACATTGAAGATCCCTTCTTCCAGCTGGAAGATTCTGTGCACACCTACACTCTGCACTCATGCTTACTCACCCCTCTGCTGGGGGGGGGGGGGTTCTTGCTTCCTATGGTGTTGTTGAGGCTCCCGGTTTCTGCTTTGGGGCATTTCCCTTCCCCAGACAGCCACCCTCCAGTTATCACTCTGCCTGATGCTGGGCCCCCAACCCCAGCCTGGCTCCCCACTTCTGCCTCCCACTGTGCAGCCCCCATTCTGCTCTGTGCTCCAGCCGAGTGGCACTGTCCTGAGCTCCTTGACCCAGGCCATGGTGAGCTCGCTCCCCCCAAAACCCCCCATCCCACTTGTGGGCAGGACCTACGGAAGAAGGTCACCCAGCCCCTCACTGTGACACCAGCCCTACACTTCCTCCTCCTCCAACTTCATCCCCTCCAGGGTCACAGGAACAGCCCTAGCTCTTTGGGATGCTAAACTGACTTCCTTCAGGAAGTTCTCTATGCTTCCAGGTCCCTTAATCTGCCCCATCGGCAGGCCTCAAGGTCAGAGACCAGCTTCCAACTATTCTGACTTTTGAGGTGTCATCCTCACACAAGTGGTCGCTCCACTGATGACAGGCCCTGCACAGACTCTGCCTGAGAGGTCCCCAAGATAAACCATAGTTCCTCCATGAGGACAGGGCCCACGTCTGTTATCTGTCACCACCACAGCCCAGAAGTATGTTTTCAGTAAACCTGGGGTGAGCATGTGTAGGGCAGGATCTTTGCCTTTTACAGCGAAAGAAGCATCTACAAACACTGAAGCTCAGCTGAGGGGAAGCCATTTTTAGAGCTATGGCTGTCGTGCCTCTCCCTTCCTCAAGGGCTTATATGAATGACACTGCCCCAAGTATCAGGACCATCTGTGGAGTATCTCCTGTGTGCCAGGTTCCAAACTTGGCGCTTTCCCATAGTCCTTACAGGCCCCGTGTATCATCCTCTCCCTACAGATGAAGAGGTGGAGGCTTAGTCAAAGTCACACAGTTGGAAGGTGGCAGAGACAGGATCAAAGCCAGCTCATCTGAAATCACCATTTCCGATGAAGCTTCAGATCAAGTTCGGATGGAGTTTCATAAAACTTTATAGTTGCTTTTAGCCAGCTGTAATTCTCCAGTCACAATGGCACACATAAGCGTCTGTTGAACAGAACTGTTTGTAATGATCATTGCCCATGGAGTGTGTGAGCTTGAGGATGTGTCTGGGCCCATGGCACCCAAAGTCACCTGCTGAGGGGTCTGTGTCCAGTCAGAAGCAACTTTGTGTCTGCAATGTTGGTTCTGGAGCCTGGCCCCAAGGTCATTAGCACGAGGGAGACCGTCTAGGTGGTCCTGACAAGGGGCATATCAGTGCTGGTTCACCCTGCACTGATTCTAACTGAGTGTCAGATTCCAAAGAATGAGTGACAAATGGCAATTGTCATGTAATTTGCTCTAGAGCTCTCCTTGAGATGGTGGCTCTTGTCAACCAGGATATTCAGTGAGCTCTATCCCTCCTCACACATCAGCATGCTGGGTTCAGCTCATTGATATAGCCTTTGGTTGCTGTGGCCTCTCGTGTCTGAGCCACTGTCACCTCACCAACCCCCAGACTGAGCCTAGATAATCTCTGGGTGAGGGGCCGTATCAGTCAGGATAGCTAGGTTATCTGTGGGTAACAAACAACCCCAAGTCTCAGTGACTTAAAGCCAAAAAGTATGGTGTGTCCTCACAAAAATTAAAGTTAAAAATTACCATATGATCCAGGAATTCCACTTCTAAGTATACGGTCCCAAAAATTGAAAGCAGAGACTCAAATAGTTCATGGAAGCATCATTCACAATAGCCAAATGGTGGAGACAACCCAGATGTTCTTCAGTTAATGAATGGATAAGGAAAATGTGCTATATAAATACAATGGAATATTATTCAATCTTTAAAGGGAAGGAAACTCTCACACATGCTAAAACATGAAGGAGCCTTGAGGACAATATGCTCAGTGAAAGGAATCAGACACAAAAGGACAAATGTTTTATGATTTCATTTACTAGAGTAGTCAGATTCAGAGAGAATCTGAAGTAGAATAGGGATTGCCAGGAAATGGGGGAGGGGAGGTAGGGGGTTAGTGTTTAGTGGGTACAGAGTTTACTTTGGGAAGAGGTATGGTGAAATGTGCTCAATGGTCTGAACTGTACACTTAAAATGGTTAAAATAGCAATTGTATGTATGTGTGTATATATGTCCCCAATAAAAAAGAGCATAGCACAAGATTATGTTAAATGTATTAAATATATTATTTTTAAAAACAAGGCTGCTTTTCTTGCTCCTGTACATGTCTGTGGCACATCTCCTGCGGGATAGAGTTCATTGAATATCCTGATTGACTAGAGCCACCACCTCAAAGAGAGCCCTAGAGCAAATCACATGACAATTGCTGTCTGTCACTCATTGGTTGAAGCCACCCATACAGCTTCAAGCAACTGTAAGGCCCAGGAAGTGGACACTGCTATAGACCCAGACACACGTAGTAACCATTACAGGGGCCTTTCCCTCAGATGGGTCCACACCCATCCCCCATTCAGGGCCTCCCATGGCAGACTTAGTTCCCACATACCTAACTCAGAAGAGAGCGGTCATGTTGGGCTACCCTGGGCCCCAACACCTTGTAAAACCTCTTGTCCTCTCCATCAGTTTGGTCCTGAAACCATTCTACATGCCACTGCCACACCTCCTCCCTGACTTCCTGGGAGGACTTCTCCCATCCTGCTAGAATTCAGCACTCCCAGCGGCTCACTCCTCAGGGCATCTTACTATCCATTACATTCCCGACCACTTTTCATGAAGGTTGTTCGTCTCTAACAAATGGTCATAACTCTCCTTCCAACTAGGATTGTCACATTAGTCAAGATCTCCAGGACTGAGGGGTGGTTGTGATGACAAAGGACACAGCTTGCGAGGTATGTATCTTCCGCAAGACTGAAATCAAGGCAGGTCCAGACACTGCTGCCCAACCCCAATCACTGGTGTTTAAAATATATATATATATATATATCAATTACTACATGCCCACTGGGAGGATGGTGCTGGCCACGTATGGAAGAATGACTGGTCTTATGCTTCAAGTTATACTTCAAATCAAGGTCTGAAGAGACTCCAGCTATGAAAGCAGCATGTGTGGGTTCAGCTCCATACCTGGAGGAACGAGTGTCAACTCATCGTGTGGTAATTTGTACAATGAATTATGAACCTGGAAAAAAAGAGAGAGAGAGACTCGGTTGCAGGGACTGAATTCTAGTCTAAACTAGCTGAACAAAAAATGGATTCAGCAGTTCAGAGTTTAAACAATGGGGTAACCCAGGAACAGATCCATCCCAGGCTGCTTGCCAGCTCCAGAGCTAGTTCTCGCTCTGCATCACTCTCCTCTGCTCCCGACTATGTTGCTGTCTTCTTTCCCGCTTACTTTAAACAGACTCCAAGATGGTGGCCGACAGCCTCAGGTTCTCCCAGCTTAGAATTCCAGTGGCAGAATACCACTTTCCCTCAGAAAATCCCCCTCATCTTCCAGGATAGGAGACTCTGCCCTTGAACAACTTTCCCTCCATCCCAAATCTGAGCTTCAAGATCTGAAGCCCATATATGACATGTGTGTGCACGTGATTGTACGTCTACACATATGCTTTATCCCCAGACAGCACCTGACAGCAGTGAAAGCTCAGCAGCAATGAGAACGCCTCATGCTCGGAGCTCTGTTTCTAAGCACCATTCTCCACTAAAATGAACTGGACCTTCTCAGAGAAGTGGCAGACCCAGAAAGTGGGCTGAGCAAAGAACAAGATAGACCCAGAACATGTCACATGTAAAAGCAAGAAAGTGCTCAAGGAATGATGGCTGTACAGAAAGGGGTTCCATGGGGAAACAGGGCTCTGTGAGCACCAAACAGTGGGCAACACCACGGGTTGTAACCCCTGAAAAAACAAGAGTTCAGGGCCCTCCCTACTGGGACAATGGGCTAGTACGCAGTACTACACGCGCCAGTTTGATGGCTTTGGTGCAAGTTTGATCCCCGGACCTGGAGCTGACCCAGATGGCACAACAGATCTCTCCTGTTTCGTCCACTGCTCCCCTCAGCAGTGCACTTCGTCCATCTGCCTACTCTGCTCCCCACTCTGTCTCTGGTGAATCCTCTCACCACCCCTGCACCTCTGACCTGTACCCCAGTTCTGTATGCATAAATAAATAAATGTTAAAAAAATAAAAAGGAATCCACATTCTAGAAATTGCAAGTCTGATGAGGGACAGGACGTTTAAACAGTGCCCTCCACATCCTTGACTAAATACTAGTTTCCAGGAGGACAAGAGTGACTTTTCAATGAAAAAGGCTGACAACATCCCTATAATCCAGGGCTCTGTGTTGCTATCGGCAGAATGGCCCAACAACGGAGCGTCATTTCTGTGATATTCCAGCCAACGTCACAGTAACTGAATCTAATGTTCAGGAGACACAAGGCATGTCCTGGCTGAGTCCATTCCATCGACATAGACATGTCTAAATAATACACTGTTATCTCTCATACTTCTGGATGCTGGAAAGCCCAG